AGGATGTTCTAGAATCTTCCAAATGTCTCTGCATTTCCAAAATTTTCTAAATCTTTTCGCATTCTTTTAGATTTATGAGAAAACTTTTAAAATATTCTAAAGAGAAGATTTTAGAGAGTGAGAAAAGTTAGTGATCACTCTCAATAAATACTATCTAAGCAACTTTGCCAACATGGCAAAATTGAAATCACAATTAAACATGCAATCTCATTTAGCATTTCTTTCTTAGAATAAATAGCCTCCGTTTGGGAAGTGGGTTGGCTTTTTGGTTTTTTGGCTATTTTAGCCTGGGCTATTTTAGCCTGGTTTGGGAAGGGCTTTTTGGCTTTTTGGTTTTTTTGACTTTTTTTGTGAGAGAGGATTGTAATGATTATGGATTGGATTTGATGTTTTGTTTTTTGTGGCTAAAATAGCCTATTTTGTTTTTTGTGGCTATTTTAGCCCCAAACCAAGTTCCCAAACAATGCCATAATTAAGTGTACAGGAAAGAAATAAACCTTCTCGTATAATCCTGTTGATCAAGTCTACGCTCCGCCGTACGTCGTCGCTTTACTCCTTGAAAACACAAACGTGAGCTAGCCGGCGGGTGTATGCCGGATACCTCTCCGATGCCTAAGTTAGCAAAATAGACAAATAGACAAAAGCTCTATGTATTCGAGAGTCAAAGTTGTGTTACCTCTCCATAGGTGATGTTATGAGCTTTTATAGGTTCCGCGTGGCACAATCCGAGTAGGACTCTTACTCCTCCATGTAGAGTCCTCCTAGGAATCATATTCCTGAAAGATAATGCTTATCCTTCAACACCCCCCTCACTGCTTAAACCAAGTGAAATGGTTTTACCACGGTTGGATGTCAATACGACCGAGCTACCATGACCATGCTAAAGCCGCAGACTAGACCGAGCTCCAGCTGGCTTGGTTCTTCCTTTCACTGCGTGTACCTCAGTTTGATATACTCCAACTGTGGTGTTGACTTACTACCGTGCTAACCATAGTAAACCCCCGACCAAGCTAACGATAGCTAGGTCCTCCGCAAGATGCCCAAATACCTTGGTTCTGAATACTATGACCGAGATAACTTCCTTTACACTGCCTGGTGACTTTAATCACACTTGGACCGTGGTAACACTTGATAATCCCTTTTCATACTTGGACCGAACTAACTATGGCACACTATGACCGCGGTGACCGTCATTACATTTGGACCGAGCTACCTATCTCCACTCCGACCACGGTGACCGTCATTACACTTGGACCGAGCTAACACTTGCGATCCTCTTGCTAAGCTCTTTTTACCACGGCTAACACCTTTACCTCGGTTGACACCTTTACCTCAACTTACCCTTTACCTCGGCTGATAGCTTTACCTCGGCTTATCCTTTACCTCGCCTGATAACTTTACCTCGGCTAATATCTTTACCTCGGCTAACATTGCGGTCAACCAAGTTACTTTGGCTCTTTTCTCCGTTTGACTACCTTGCTTGGTAGCTCGGCCATAGCGTTGACAGCCACTAGGAAATAGCTAAGTCCCGTAGCTAGGTCCCGTAGCTAGGTCCCGTGGCTAGGCCGCGTAGCTAGGTCCAATAACTTGGTCCCGTAGCTAGGTCTTGTAGCTCAGTCTCGTAGATAGGTCCTATAAATATCTTTGACTGCCACTCTAACTTAGCTCGGCCAAATTTGGCTACACAAATTACCCTCTCATTAAGTGAATTTCACTTTACAATAAAATCACACATTGAATCTATAATTTGACTTCATGCTGATATCAAACCCTCTTCAATCAATCATTCAACCTGACTGAAGAATGATTTTCTGCAAAGCGTGCATGGCAAATTTAACATGATTTTATTTGAAAATCACATGTTTATTTGTTGTTTATTTATTTTATTTTTTTACAAAATACATAAGTTTAAAAGAGAACATATAATAGTAACAATAAATACGACTAAGGAGTAACTAACAAGTTTACATATAGACAATTTCAATTTCAGCTTTTAGCTTAATTTAAGCTATTTTGATGTGTTTGGTTCAGCTTAACAATACAGCTTATAGCTTTTTGTAAGTCAAAAATCAACTTATTCTTTGAGTGAGGGAGGAGAAACTTAATTTATAAGTCAAAAATCAGCTTATATTCACAGTTATAAGTTATAAGCTATTAAGTTATAAGTTATAATCACTTTCCCACAGCTCTACCAAACGGGGCCTCTGTTTGGGAATAGATTACTTTAGTTGACAATTTGATTTTTTAGCTATTTTAATCTAACTAAAAAAGTTGTGTTTGGGATGATAGTTAATTTTTTTATAGTTGATTTGATGGTCATAAGAGAAAAAAGTTAGGAGTTGTTTGGGATGTCCTAAATAAGTGCACTTTTGTGTTTTTAGACTAAAAAGTTGAGGAAAAAATATGAATGTTTAGGTTAATTTTTTGACTTTTTATGAAAAAATGTGTATTAAAAAATTGTATAGAGAAGTGTGTAGGAGAAGATTAGAGATGTGTGGGCCATAGCCGTACAATCTGCACAGTCGAATTGATGGCAAAAAATTATTGGCTACTTTTCGGGCATTACACTGGATGGTTTTGTTCGGCCCGTGGGGGTCATCATTGGTCCCATTTTGATAATCTGAACCGTTCAATGTGTAGAACTCGTCGAGTACTATATACTTATAAAAAATCACGTTGATCGGATATCGATAACTATCTGATCAGATTTTTTTTTTCAATCGTTAATTATAACACCATCTATTTTTTTATACAAAACTGATTTGATCATGTAGTTATCGATATCCGATCAATATGATTTTTTTACAGACATATAGTACTCGACGAGTTCTACACATTGAACAATTCAGATTATCAAAACGGGACCCATGATGGGCCCCCACGGGCTGAACAACAGTGTGTGAAAATTGCACCTAAACTATGCAATTTTTCTTAACAAATGCTACACAACACCAGCCATACATGATCGCTGAATTGTATGGATATGTGGAAATTAATATTTTTTTTTGATGAATAGTTATAACTTTTGCCTCCATTTGGAAAGTATGTTGACTTTTTGGCTTTTTGACTTTTTTGGCTATATTAGCCTAGACTAAAAAGCTTGGTTTGGGAATGACTTTTTTACTTTTTTAATTTTTTTTTGTGAGAGAAAAGTAAAATGATTATGGGTTGGATGCGATGTTTTGTTTGTTGTGGCTAAAATAGCATATTTTGTCTTTTGTGACTATTTTAGCCACAAACTAACTTGCCAAACAACACCTTTGAATAACTTTCAGACTTTTTGTCTTTTTAGGAGATGCTAAACTTGACCTTAAATAATTATAAATTGAATGTGACATTTTATTTTATTTACTATTTTAACCAAATAACCTCTAACCAAACAAGGCAAAAGTTGTAAAGTTGGACATTTGCCCAATTCAACACAAAATGGCAACTTGAAGATACAAGTTGCCATTTGGCCAACTTCAGTACAAAAAATGCAATCTAATTGAGCCTTAACTTGAACAATTGAGAGAAGAAAGGTTGCACCCCGCGCACACACGCACCAAAAAAAATAAAAATAAAAAAATAAATAATAATTGCAAGTGAATTGATGATCATGATTTGAACCAAATGAAATGAGTACTCTATGCATAATGCAGTGGATCCAAGAGATGACCGTTAACAGGGATATTCGAAATCGTTTCAAGATTGGAATTCGAGGTCATAAAAGAAAGAATAACGCTTGGGAGCACTAATTAGTGCTCTCACTAATTAGGTGGCAGTGGGTCTCGTTATTAATGATGTGATGTTTTGGTCTTGGAATTGTATTTTTTTTTTTTTTTTTTACTTTTTTAATGCATTAGTGCTATTAGTGGTGATGTTTTAGTGGGATGAATCATTGTTGTAAAAGAAAAGTGCTTGGACCTTATTTTATTTTTATTTTTTTTATGACTCTTATATTCTCTTTTGGATCTCAATCATTAATTATGTATGCATGAGACTTACACCATCAATAGTTGAGATCCAAAAGGATTGTAGGGATCTAAAAAAATGAGGTCTCAATCATTTTTTGTCATAAAATAAGACCAAAATAATGTTGGAATGTTTGGTGAAGATTATTTCAAGTTAAAAATTAGTAATTAGAAAGTAAAAAATAAAAGCATTCTTTCTTAGCTTATGAAAAATCAATTTTTTTAAATTTATTTAAGCTATTTTTGCCTAATACGTTATAAGTAAAAATTGTACTAAATAATTTGACACAAACTCTTAAAGTAAAACAAGTTATAAGTTTTGTGTATAATCGCTAACAAACAAGCCCAACGTGAATTGTCAAAAAGACACTTTAAAAAGTTTGAAATTGTTGTAATTTTTTTGTAAGTGTAGCTATTATAAAAATATATATAATTATTTTTTATTTTGTTAACTAATAATTTTAATGTATTCATTAACAAAACTTGATTATAATATATAATATAAAAAATAGTATACAAACTAATAAATTTTATAAATTTTTTATTCTAACTGATTGTGTCATACATTAAAAAAATTTAAATCTTAAAAAAAAAAAAAAACCACAAAAAAAAAATTAGTAAACGTTAATTACACTAAGAAGCTCTCAACAATATTTAAACATCATTTTAACATCATTATCTATAAATTTATACATTTTAGACTTACCAATTATAAAAACGTATCATTTTTATGCATACGATATTTATAATTAGAGTGATATAATTAAAGGTATCTCGATGTAACTAATTAACCATTTTATTAGGGTGACGAGAGCAAAAAAAAAATTATTGACTTTTATAAGATTACCTTGAATATAATAATGGTAAACAGCAGGAGTTGGTAAATGACATTATTTCTTGTTTTTTTTTTTTTTTAAACAAAAGGGTTTATAAGTTAACGGCTCTATTGCCACATGCCCGCCCGTTTGTCAAAAATTTGAATCTCTCTCTCTCTCTCTCTCTCTCTCTCTCATCCAAAAAGTTACATTTAAAACATACAGGGGTTTCTTGGTCTTTGAACTCCTTCCCCTTATCTACTCTATTCAAATCTCTCTCTCTCTCTCTCTCTCTAACACACACACATTTCCCATTCTTATCTGTAATTCCCCATCTCTCTCTGTGTCTAAAATGGGTAGTTGTTTGAGCAAGAAAACCACCATTTGTTCCTCACCAAATGCACTTCCCGACCCACCTCCAAATCAAACCAAGACCAACACTAACCCCCAATTAATAGACACGAAAAAGCCAGAAGTAGAGACTCTGAAGAAGGAGATCTTTGTCATCAAACACCGCAAGAGCCAAGACATCGATCGAAGATCTGACGAAGAAAAACCCAACCCAGTTCACCAGAAGATCCAATGTACAGCCACCAGTACTGATACATCTGCATCTGAATCAGCTGATCTTGGTAACAACAACAACAACAATACTAGTAGCAATGGAGGAGGATTTCCGAATGGGGGAATCGTAGTGAGGACATCGAGTTGTACGAAAGAAGAGGTCGATGCTATTCTCATCCAGTGTGGCCGCCTCAGCCGCAGCTCGTCCGCCGGAAAAGCCACCGCCTTGTCCGGTTCTGGCCATGATCGGAAGTACTCTGGCTCCAAGAGGAGTTATGATTTCGATCACGAGACTCCTAGCAAAGATAAGAAGAAAGGTAATGGCTTTGAGTATGAAAACTACGACGATGAGGTTGTTGATGGCGACGATGATGAGACGGTGGCGGAGAGAATCCACCGCCACCGGCAGCGCCACCGCCAATCAAGGCCCTCTTCTTCTTCTTCCCGGAGGAGGACTCCGAGCAGAGAAAGAGACCAACAACAACAACAACAGCAGCAGAGGTCGGGAAGCAGAGAAAGAGGCAGCAGTGGCAGCGGTGGTGGGAGGAGGGTGAGCCGGTCTCCGGGGAGGAGATCTGAATCACCCATAACTGGTGGCGCCACCACTTCATCAGCCAATGCCGGTGGATGTAGGCCTGGAAAGATGGTCTCTGTTCCGGCCACCGATAAGAGCAATAATGGTGGTGGTGGTGGAGTGGAGGCTCCGCCAGTTAAGAGGATTTCGGTGAAGAGAAATGCAGGGGGGGAAGCGGCGGCAATGGGGTGTAGGAGTGTGGCGTCACCGCGGTCTCAGTCTCCTGCGAGGGTGAATGGGAGGGGGGGTGGCAATGAGAATCAGAATGGGCACACCAATCAGCCATTGTCCCTCAGCAGAAGCAATTCTAGGAAGGCTGAGCATTCTCCTTATAGAAGAAACCCATTGGCTGAGATTGATCAGAATTGTGTTGGATTTGAAGTGCCTCTACACAGCAACAAGGCTGACAAGAACAGTCTGTCTCAGGTACACTTTGACCCTCTATCTCTCTCTGGTTGTGGTTTATGTTTTCATTTTTATGTGTTTTTCGGAAACAAAAACAATAAAATGTTCAGTTTTGTGAAGGAAATGAAACAAGCAAGAAAGTGAAGACGCTATTTATGTGTTTCAGCAGATTTGCGCGGTCATTTTTAACTGAGAATACAATCATATCGTGCAATTATAGGGATTGAGCTACATCAATTATCCAAATTCAAGCCACAAATCATGTATTTGGTTTGTGTCACATGTGAATATTGAAGAATTAATACATAAATCCTGAGATCTTCAACCTTTCACATAAAAGGTTCAAAAACAGTGTTTGGTTGGTTGATTTTCTGAATAATTCTGAGCTTGTTTGTTTGTGCTTTTCATCTTCTATGTTTTCATTTTTTTGTGGGAAAACAGATTTTGAAAATAACTTTGTAGTGTTTCCTACAAAGAGTTGTTTTCTAAAAAAAATTCAGAAACCGTTAGCTAAGCAAGTTTAATTTCGGCACGACTTAATAAACCAGTGCAAGAATGGTCTCCAACAATGGAATATTCCTTAATAAACTGTTGTCATTCAATTTCTGCAGGCTCCAATGCAGAAGCAAAGCAACAATGAGAATGTGAAAAGTAACAAAGTCACAGTGCAAGGCACCGATAACAAAACCAACACTGGCAAAGACAACAAGTATGGAACTTCAAGTTGCAGAGCAAACGAACAGCAGCAGGGGAAAGATGACGGCAAAATATTGCAACCAACGCCCGGCAGCGTTGCATTGACAGTGGTACCCTCAGGACCCGAAATCCTCAAACCACAAACAATAACACGAAGCCGGTCCTCGAGACTGTCACGGGACCTTGACCTCAACCCCGACACCCTACTGAATCCCGCTCCCTCTTCCTATACAGCGCTATTGCTTGAAGATATCCAAAACTTCCACCAAAAGGGCACCCCAGCAATCTCTCTCCCGCCTTGCGTCACCAAGGCGTGCTCCATCCTCGAAGCAGTTGCCGATCTCAACTCCAGTTCGAGCAATCCAGTTGGGAAGAAGAGATTAGAGAGCAAGGACCCTTTTGTGGAGTCTGAAGTGCTTGTCAGCGATGACCTAACTGAACCAAGCTTTCACAAGTATGTGACTACGAGGAGGGGTACTGTGGGAGGTGATAGTGGAGATGTGGAAGAGCAAGAGTCCTCAGGGAGCAACAGCTTTGTTGTTGGTGGTCAACAACATTGGGCATCTTCTTCTTCATGGGAACCCAATTCAGCTGATTCAACTGACCACTGGACTTCTTCAAGGTCGAATACCAGGGAGGACAATAGGAGTCCACCGGGTTTTCAGAGGCATGCTTTGTCCGAGCCACGCTGTGATTCGGATGATGCACGAAGAAAGTTGAGCGAAAAGAAGAGAGAATCTGATGATCGTCAGCAGAATGGAGTAGGGCGAGGCCGAGTTGGTTCGAGTAGAGGTCTTCACTCGACGCCTCCACTTGCAGCTGTTTCAACCTGAAAATGAACGAGATGAACCTTTTCAGTTGTAACTTTTAGTTGAATTGTATCAGTGGTTGCAAACTTGCAACTTTTGCTGTAACTTTATGTTGACAGAGTTGTTTGGTTGGTCCAGCTTTTTTCTTGCTATTAATTGAGAAGAGCATTTCGCTCGGTTCAACTTCAAATAAATCTGTAGGCATGCTTTGCACCAAAAAGAAAAGATTTTAAACTGATGGCATTTTCACAAATAAATTTCACATTTTTTATTTAGTACATTACACATCTGGCACAAATGCTTTCATTATCCTGAGTCCCTTCCCCAGAAATAATTATTCTGCCATGGAAAACTGCTTAAGAACACAGATTTGGCTTTAAATCTGTACATCTGTATTACACAGGACTCAAGACTATCAGTGAGTGATGACACCACATACATACTTGAGAGTTGATACTGTGATTCTAAAATGTCCAAAGCCATCTTATGGTAATGTATTATTTGACTTGTGGTAAGTGCCTTTCAAATCCCGCTGCGCTGATGTCATTTATTATGCACACAATCAGGAAGCAATCCTGGGGTAGAAAGTTTAGAGCCAACAGTAGCTTTCCCATCATTTTGCTTTTGTTGTTTACTCATTCCAAACTGGTCTTGTAATTAACCATGTATATTGCAGCAAGAGTAACAAGAGCTCCAATGAGTTGCACAGGCGTGAAGGTCTCACCAAGATAGAGGAACCTGTTGTTAGAAATAATAAAATAATAAAGATAGGGGAAAAGGGATATTAAGATCCACAAAAGAGAGTGGGGATGAAAACATAAAAAGAAAATAATCTACAGAAATTTTTTTTTAAACAAATTGTATCACAAATATGATGCGGTAATGACATTCTTGAAAATACAAGCATGGGCTTTTGTTTTTAAAATGAGAGGACTAAGTCTGCCACATATTTTTGGTTTGAAATTCTATATGACTTTTCTGTTTGCCGAGCAACATGAGCATATTGGGTCAAGTTAACTTCATCCGCAGTGTATGAAACATGCATTCACTCAGAAAACTGATAATAATACATAGGATTGTGTTAGAATTTACCATCACCTACCACACACTTACCATCACCTACCACACACTCACCTACTACACTCACCTACTCCTCACCTACCACCACCTAACCTACATCTATATAATCAATCAATTGTAACAAATACAAAAATCAATATCAATCTATCAATAATACATACAATTAATTCTCTCTCTATCAATTTTTCTTACATGGTATCAGAGCAGGTTTAGAACCTAATATCTTCGCTTCCCCGGCGGGCGGCAACCTTACCTTAGCTGCCCGCCGGACCTCAACCTATTCCGCTTATTTTCTACACATACCTTCCCATCATTGCCCAATCAATAAATCCGAAAATTGTCCGAAACAAGAGAGAGAGATAACTTCATGGCGGCAGCCACCGGAGCAGGACTTTTCTCAGCCGTTCTCTCGCCGGCCGCCGGGAGATTCAAATTCAAACGGAAAGTTCCGGTGTCGGCGACTGTTACGCCGACTCAGCCACCGGCTTTCACCGTCTCCGACAACGGAAGGTTGCATGAGGCGGCCACCGTATCCAAACGCAGCGATAGCTCGGAGGCTATGCCGGAAGATCAACGGTTGAGCTTGAAGGATTACTTTGAACTGTCCAAGGACATGATTAGATCGGACGGTGGGCCGCCTCGCTGGTTCTCGCCATTCGAGTGCGGATCTCGATTAAACGGCTCTCCTCTCTTGCTCTTTTTACCCGGGATTGATGGTGTTGGGCTTGGCCTTATTTTGCAGCATCAAAGACTTGGAGAGATCTTTGATATTTGGTGCTTGCACATTCCAGTTATGGATCGAACACCATTTGCAGACCTGGTGGAGCTGGTTGAAAGAACAGTAAGGTCAGAGAATTGCAGTTCACCAAAAAAGACTCCATTACAGCTTTCCTTGGCTGAGGAATTTCGTATTTCCTTTCACAGTGTCGATAAACCATCTACAACTGGTGTTAGAACAGAATACTTATCTGTTTTTTCTCACTCACACTATCTCCTTCCTAAAGTATTCCCGACTTTTAAGAGAGTCGTGGTTTTGGATGATGATATTGTCGTCCAGCGAGATTTGTCAGTCCTATGGAGCCTTGATATGGAGGGTAAAGTGAATGGTGCTGTTCAGTTCTGTGCAGTGCAGTTGGGTCAGCTGAAAAATCTTTTGGGTGGGAATATTTCTGATAGAAACTCTTGTGCTTGGATGTCTGGATTGAATATTATTGATCTAACTAGGTGGAGGGAGCAAAATCTTACAGAAACATTTCAGAGATTGGTACAAGAGGTGAGTGGGGAGTATTTTTCTTTAATTGTGGTTATGCTGGGATTATTTTTTAGTTTTAAAAGTTATTTTACATAAATTTTCTATTTCCTTGTCAGCTCAAATTGGCTCTGTTGAAATTATGAATAGTCACCAATCTGAGTGGGACTAGCGTTTTATAGAGACTTAAAATTTATAAATTCTTACAAGGGGCTAGTTTTTCATAAATGTTCTAAAATATTGTGTTTTTGGAGCAATCCATTAAGTGTTGCTGCATTGTGATATACTAGTCTGTTGTTTCAAGACCCGGCAAACTTTGCAGGTTCTTCCTTGTGTGCATCTTTCTTGCTTGCTTACTTTCTTTTTGGGGAAATTTCATTTTAGGAAAGAACAATTCAAAATAATTGACAAATTTCATAGAGGTACAAGTGAGTCTATGTATGGTGGAAGTGAAAGCATGACACAACTCACTTGCATCCATTTGCACCGAAACTGCAATTATTACGCTGTGATTCGGATGATGCACGAAGAAAGTTGAGCGAAAAGAAGAGAGAATCTGATGATCGTCAGCAGAATGGAGTAGGGCGAGGCCGAGTTGGTTCGAGTAGAGGTCTTCACTCGACGCCTCCACTTGCAGCTGTTTCAACCTGAAAATGAACGAGATGAACCTTTTCAGTTGTAACTTTTAGTTGAATTGTATCAGTGGTTGCAAACTTGCAACTTTTGCTGTAACTTTATGTTGACAGAGTTGTTTGGTTGGTCCAGCTTTTTTCTTGCTATTAATTGAGAAGAGCATTTCGCTCGGTTCAACTTCAAATAAATCTGTAGGCATGCTTTGCACCAAAAAGAAAAGATTTTAAACTGATGGCATTTTCACAAATAAATTTCACATTTTTTATTTAGTACATTACACATCTGGCACAAATGCTTTCATTATCCTGAGTCCCTTCCCCAGAAATAATTATTCTGCCATGGAAAACTGCTTAAGAACACAGATTTGGCTTTAAATCTGTACATCTGTATTACACAGGACTCAAGACTATCAGTGAGTGATGACACCACATACTTGAGAGTTGATACTGTGATTCTAAAATGTCCAAAGCCATCTTATAGTAACGTATTATTTGACTTGTGGTAAGTGCCTTTCAAATCCCGCTGCGCTGATGTCATTTATTATGCACACAATCAGGAAGCAATCCTGGGGTAGAAAGTTTAGAGCCAACAGTAGCTTTCCCATCATTTTGCTTTTGTTGTTTACTCATTCCAAACTGGTCTTGTAATTAACCATGTATATTGCAGCAAGAGTAACAAGAGCTCCAATGAGTTGCACAGGCGTGAAGGTCTCACCAAGATAGAGGAACCTGTTGTTAGAAATAATAAAATAATAAAGATAGGGGAAAAGGGATATTAAGATCCACAAAAGAGAGTGGGGATGAAAACATAAAAAGATAATAATCTACAGAAATTTTTTTTTAAACAAATTGTATCACAAAAATGATGGGATAATGACATTCTTGAAAATACAAGCAACTCATGGGCTTTTGTTTTTAAAATGAGAGGACTAAGTCTGCCACATATTTTTGGTTTGAAATTCTATATGACTTTTCTGTTTGCCGAGTAACATGAGCATATTGGGTCAAGTTAACTTCATCCACAGTGTATGAAATATGCATTCACTCAGAAAACTGATAATAATACATAGGATTGTGTTAGAATTTACCATCACCTACCACACACTTACCATCACCTACCACACACTCACCTACTACACTCACCTACTCCTCACCTACCACCACCTAACCTACATCTATATAATCAATCAATTGTAACAAATACAAAAATCAATATCAATCTATCAATAATACATACAATTAATTCTCTCTCTATCAATTTTTCTTACAGATTGTATACTGTGAAGTCGCATCTCTTTGTAATCCTTCAATGAATAAACTTACCCAAAAATTGAAGCAAACATTGGAGTTAAAAAGGTTAGGGAGCTGAGCTTTGTCAAGCTACCTGAAATGCAATTATCAAACTCATGTCAATCTCAAAATAAAAGCAAATGCCTTGAAATACAGAAGTCTGCACGCCACCAGATGTCCTAAAACTGTCCGAAACGAGAGAGAGAGAGATAACTTCATGGCGGCGGCCACCGGAGCAGGACTTTTCTCAGCCGTTCTCTCGCCGGCCGCCGGGAGATTCAAATTCAAACGGAAAGTTCCGGTGTCGGCGACTGTTACGCCGACTCAGCCACCGTCTTTCACCGTCTCCGACAACGGAAGGTTGCATGAGGCAGCCACCGTTGACAAACGCAGCGATAGCTCGGAGGCTATGCCGGAAGATCAACGGTTGAGCTTGAAGGATTACTTTGAACTGTCCAAGGACATGATTAGATCGGACGGTGGGCCGCCTCGCTGGTTCTCGCCATTCGTGTGCGAATCTCGATTAAACGGCTCTCCTCTCTTGCTCTTTTTACCCGGGATTGATGGTGTTGGGCTTGGCCTTATTTTGCAGCATCAAAGACTTGAAATTAGAAGCTCATAGAATAGAAGTGTTCTTTGTTTATCAAATCTGATGATCGCAATTCACAATCACATGACGACCTACTATTTTATGGTATTCCTTTTCTAGGAGATGCATTGAACCTTGGGTGCAATGATAACACATTAGGAATTAAGAAAGATGGGTGACTATAAGTCTATAAGAGAAATAGATATTTCATAAGAAATTTCAACTGAATAGTTTGTGAAAAATTAGAGGTGGCACCAGCTGAAGATAAGATGGGAAAGTCATCCATAATAGTTGGTCAATATACAAGAAACAATTTTTAGGTCAGAAAAGTGAAGTTAATTTAATCAAGTTCAAAGTGGGGTGGGGGGGATATGAATAAAGAGAAATAAATGGAACTACAATTTGTGATGCCAACCCCATGCAGTTTTTTTTTTTTTCTTTTCTTCAACAAAGTAAAACCCCAACCCCATGTAGTTGGCATACGGATTATTTAAAATGGGATGAGGATATACAAATGGAAAATATAAATAACTCACCCATCCAGTGGCCATAATAGGGTCAGAATACTTGGTAACCCAGCGAACCATAACCGTACCAACTGCCATGCTTTGAGCTGCCAGGAGCATCCACCATTCTCCACTCCCCCATAATGAAAAGTTGCTACCATCAAAAGAAATTGCTGGTACCTATGGGATGACATTCACCATGACAAAAAAAAAAAAAAGCTTAAAACAATTAAGCATCAACAATGTGTATATGTCATCGTCAACAGCAGCAATAAGACAGACATTACATTACTGAACTTCAAAAGTGATATGAAGGGTGGGTTGGGTTTTGGTACCTTCCTACGTGTTACCTTGTGAGAGGGAAAGGAGGAGGTGATTATTCAATAGCATGGTTTAGGGTTTGGGGACCATATCTATAAATTCCAGTTGATTGAAAGCATAGCAGAATATAGAGTAGAGAAAGAGAGATGCTGATCAACTTTAAGATTAGGACTTGCTTCAAACTCTTGTTTGGGGCATGTAGACAATACTGCTTACATTAAAAACTTCAATTTCTGAACATTCCTTCTCAACAGATTAAAACCGTAATTGAAGTGTAATGTAGAGAAATCACATATGTTTGTACCTTCATATAAACATATGCACTTATAGTCCCATATAAAGTTTCATGACCATTTATATGAATAAAAGCGTAACAGTCACGAACTTTTACAAGTAAATTTTCCAACGTAGGTACACATTTTATAGAAAAATAAAATAGGAAGATCCTTGATGCACAAATCTGCTTGCATATATGTGTAAATCTAATCTTGCTAAAACTATATTATCATAAAATGTATGGAAACTTGAAAAACATTTTCAGACCAAATTATCATCACTGAAGTATTAAATGACAAATCTATCCTATACATATTAACTCCAATGGCAGCATTTGAACGGTAATGGCTGACCAGTTCTTTTTCCAGCACCCAACATCATATTTATGAAGATTTCCAATTCGTATTATGGGTTCTTGATTTTGGGTTTCAAGCTATGGAAGTTTGCCCATCTAGTACATTGCCCAGCTGCAATAGAGGAGCTATGGAATTTTCTGGATAAAACCTGATCCAAGAGACAAAAAAAAGGTCCTAGAGGGGGGAGGTTGCATAGGACAATTCTATTTTTAATTTATTTTACTTCAATCTTTAGGTATGATTGACATCAAATGTTGGATCTTTAGGCATGCTTGACTAACAACAAAAATATGTATTAATAACCCCATCCATAAATCAATAAGGATAATTAAAGTGATGAAGCTTCAACAATTGAGGAATTAAATATTGACATCATCAATAACCTTTTGCAATATGTAAATATGTGTTAGTTGAATCCAGATCGTGCAACATTCAGATTAAAAGGAAATAAAGGGAAAACACTAGAGTTTTCTCATAAAAGTACCTCAAGAAGTAGAAGACCAATGACACCAAGCACAAGGCCTGCAGCTCCAACAAATCCGATGGATTCGCCAAATAACAGGGCAGCAAGTACAGCCACTGTCAATGGCTGTGAATCAATTATCACCTGAAATTGTTCATTCAACTGTTAGTCAATTTTTCAGTTTATTACCCATTACCATATCAATTGAACAGAGTAATATCACTTGAGAGAAGTGAGCACCATTATGTCAAATAATTCAGCAACATAGCTATAGAAATCATAACCAACTTATCTGATTATTTTGTTTGCAGAAAGGGAAATTATCCTTACTAGAACATCCCATCCCCATCCCAAAACAAAAAACATGTAGTAAATGGGTTGTAAATGCGGAGTTTAGGAAAGACTAGTTGTGATATAATATGTGTAAAACATGTAAATTATTTAGTAAGATTCTTTTTTGCTCCCCAAAGAGTTGTTTTTGGTATTAGACCTTCCTCAGTTTTTGATAAAATGATTGTAAATGAAACATTCAGGGAAGCTTAATTGCAATATATAATGAATAACTCATGAAAAGCAACCTTTTTGGGATTGCTTTGTGATGGGCCCTTCTTTTAACTTTCGAAGCAAATAATCACTAGTTGACATCATGAGGTTGCTTTATAGCGTAATATGCATTAAACATGCTTCTTTTTTTCTAAGGTTTGAACTGGGAATGCTCTGCAGCATTTCTCAACCTTTTTTCATGTTTTCATTTCAAAGCCTACTTATAATTTTCAAAAGAATTAAAAACAAAAACACACACCAAACATATTTTGTTTTGTGCTTTTGAGAAATTATGAACACAAAAACATGAACCAAAGCAGTCCTAAATTAGCATAACTTAACAAAACATTTTAAATTTCCTGAAATTAACAACACTTGCTTATTGACAAAACAAAAGGTTGACCAAACAAGTATAGTATAGAAAGATCTTCCCACTCCAACTGACTCCCAAAGATAGCTTAATTGTTCCTCACTTGCATTTTTACCAAAAAATATAACAAGGGAGAATAGCAGCACATACACTGCCCAGACCCGCAGATGTCCGCTCTAATCCTTCAGCAAGAAAACCCTGTTCAATCAGTAAAATTTCAGTGAAAATAGATTACTTCGCCAGCTGAAAGCATCTATTCAAGCATAGACCATAGTCTATAGAATGTACTTTATAAAATAGGATGTATATCTAGGGAGAGGTTACGATGTGCACTTGCACATTGTAGGAAAAGTTATACTTTTTGTGAGAGAAGTTTGATATTTTGTGAGATGAAAGTTATGATTTTTGTGATGAAAGCTATGAATTTTGAAGTTATGATGTGCACCTAAAAGTCATTATAACTAAGGTTATATTCTTTTTGTGAGAGAAGTTATACATTTTGTGAGAAAGAAGTTACAATTTTTGTGATAAAAGTTATACATGTTGTGAGAGAAATTATGCTTTCTGGATGAGGTGCATATGATGTGTACTTGCACATCATAGCATTCTCCGTATATCGATTCTATTATATAAAGCATAAACTCTCGGCTTTGTCACGCTCCTTTTTATATTCTCAAAATACTCCTAAAATTGGTAACTACATCTTGTAACTAAAGAGTTTTCTAATTCAATCCGGATTCATTAAATGCTCATTCCTTATTCCGTTTAAAAGTTTAGATGTACAATTGCAAACACATCGCGACTAGGGTTGATAAACAAACTATACAGTCTGAGCTTGACTTGTGTTTAGCTCATTTGAGCTTAAACAAGTCAATTTTAACATAGTCAATTGCTTGTTCGGTTTCGTTCAGTTTAATAAGCTCAAAAGATTAACAAATCAAACTTGAACAGTTTGGCTCGTTTATCACCCCTAATCGCGACTGCATCCACCGCTAGTATCTAAAATGTAAATATATGTAGGAGAAAGGAAATGGGACCTGAAAACAAGTGGCATCAACAAGTGCAAAGAGAGAGATGGAGAGCCAAGCAGTGAGTCCAGAGGGGAGAGGACGACCACGAGAGGAAGCGAAAGCAACCAATAAGAGGCCGGCGGGGATAAGGCGGAAAGAAGAGACAAAGAAGGGACCAGTCTTAGGCAACACTTCCTTCATGGCCACCATAGCCGTACCCCAAAAGAAGAAAGGCGACACCAGCACTGCCCATTCCCACAATTGCCCAACCAACACCGCGGCGGAGGGAGGAGGAGGAGGAGGAGACGCCGATGGCGGCGGAGATTCGAGTTGGGTGTCGGAGTCTGTGGCTCGCTCAGTGACACAATTGAGCTTGAACTTGACATGGTTGAGTTTACTAGATAAAGCTCTGTTTCGATGAAAGCAAAGGAGGGTAATTGGACTAGGGTTTCTTCGGGAAGAGAAATGGGGAGAGGTGGTAGAATTGGGGTGGAAGCAATAGCAGCTAGGGGAGGAGAGAGAAGAAGGAGTAGAAGAAGAAGAAGAAAAGAGTGCGGCTGAGGCCATTTCTCCTCCGCTTCTCTTTTCTGCTCTTGCTTGCTTTAAAAATAATAATTAAATACAGAATATAAGCAAGAGAGTGTGGACCACAAATTTATTTATTTATTTGAAGGCATTGTTTGGCATCTTAGATAAGAGTATTTTATTTTTATTTTTTTGGAAAATGGGTCGGACTCCATTGCGGTGACACCCAGTCTCCCAGTGGACTCTGATTGGTTAATTTTTTTTTTATTTTTTTATCTAATGACCAACCCTCACGTGTGTGTGGGGGTGGTTGGAGACTGGGGGTCTCAATCAAAAACTTTTTTTCTTTTGTTACATATTTCTTAGTAAAAATTTAAAATAGGAAAAATTATTTATAAACCCTATTATGGAAATTTGTTTAGCGTGAAACCGTATGAAACTTCTTATAGAGTCTAAAATCTTATTTAAATAGCAATGTATTCCATCAAATCCTATATTGTGTAAATCAATTGTAGCAGTGGATTATTATATCCCTACTTTGTTCTATTGTTGTCCGTTTATTCTCTCTCCTATATATCACGTTTAGTTTGAGATGTTATATAGGGGTGGTTATTTTCCTCCGCCTGGACTCTGATTGGTTAATTTTTTTTTTATTTTTTTATCTAATGACCAACCCTCACGTGTGTGTGGGGGTGGTTGGAGACTGGGGGTCTCAATCAAAAACTTTTTTTCTTTTGTTACATATTTCTTAGTAAAAATTTAAAATAGGAAAAATTATTTATAAACCCTATTATGGAAATTTGTTTAGCGTGAAACCGTATGAAACTTCTTATGGAGTCTAAAATCTTATTTAAATAGCAATGTATTCCATCAAATCTTATATTGTGTAAATCAATTGTAGCAGTGGATTATTATATCCCTACTTTGTTCTATTGTTGTCCGTTTATTCTCTCTCTTATATATCACGTTTAGTTTGAGATGTTATATAGGGGTGGTTATTTTCCTCCGCCTCGCCCCACCCCGCATGAACCAGATTAAGAAATGGGGTAGGAAAGAATTTTTGTTTCCCCCGCCACATTCCAACTGAAATCTGCCCCGATTATATTTATTAACTATATTTATATGCATATAATATATATAATTTATTTATTTTTCATTATAATAAAGTTAAAATACTAATATTAATTTTTATTCATTTATTTTCTATCTTATATAATATAATTTTCATTAAGTATAAATCATTATTCATAATATACCATATTATCAATCATTTTTATTAATATTTTCATTTTTTAACTTAAAAAAATTAACCCACCTCCCCATTTCGCACCCACCCTACTTTCATCACCCCCAATTTATCCCACCCTCGATATGATACGGGGCGGGGACGGATTTCTATAAACCCGTCCCAAACTCTACCCGTTAGTATCCCTACATATTACATTTAGGGGGTTACAGTTATTAATTGAAAATTTAAAATGCGAACAACGGTGGAGTATGAGAATGTCACATTAGGTTTGGAATATTACATATTACATTTTGAAGGTTACATTATTCATAATTCAACGGTGGAATATTGGAATGCATGTTAGGTTTGGGATGAGAAACATATAGGAATGTCACGGTGGGTTTGAGATGCTATATGTTACATTTACGTTGAGTTTTGGATGAGAAACATATGAGAATGCTACGTTGAGTTGAGAATGTCACGTTGAGTTGAGATGGTATATGTTATATTTATGTTTTGAATTTCAAATTTTCAACCATATAGATATGATCACAATCTATGGTAATATTAGATTTCTCATATATGGTATTGTCATTAATCAAGTTATTTTGAATTTCAAAAGTATATGAGAATGTCATGTTGAGTATGGTAACGTCACATTGGATTTGAGATGTTAGATGTTACATTTACGTTTTGAATTTCAAATTTCTAACTTTATAAATATTATTAGAATTTATGGTAACATTGGATTTCTCATATATGGTATTGCCATTAATTAGGTTATTTTGAATTTCAAATTTCTAATTATATAAATATGATCACAATTTATGATAACACTGAATTTTTCATATATGGTATTATCATTAATCAGGTTATTAATTAACTAAGATAAGGGGTAGATGTGTCCACGAGAAAACTACAGGACCTATTAGGTTATAAGTTTTGTCATAGGATCCTATCTTATATAAGCCTTCCAAATAAGACTTATAAATAATTTACCCAAAAATATACTTACTTAAATCATTCCAAACACCATCTAAATAAAAAGGATTTATTTTTAGTATTATTTTATTTTTATTTTCACATGAGTGAGGGGATTCCTGGCAACATACAAGACCCAAAAACAAAAATACTAAACAAGTAGGAAGGGTAGGATCAATTTAAATTTTAATATTTTGATTTATTTTTAATTTAAATTATTTATATATTTTTGTTAAGTAAAATTGACAAAAACAAATAAGATTTTCAATACATTTCTTTATAATGGATTTAATGATTAAAATATTAAATATTTTCAAAAAGATTTAGTACAATCTTCTCTTAACATAACTCTAGAGGTAAAGACATCTTTATACTATCGAAAATCACTTAAGGTTGGACAAGTGAGATTACTAAGTTGATCATGTATGCGAGATTAGATATTAGTAGGTATTCCTATAAAATGGTGAACTATGGTGTAAATTAGCAGTAAATACAAATACTTAATATTTAAAACATTAAAACTTACAATTGTTTACTAGAATAAAGCAAGCAGTTCTTCAAAATACATAGCTTAAAAACAATTAAAATTACAGAGATAGCTATTCTTGAGGAAGGAATGCTCTCAATTTTTTTTAGCTCTGCCTTATTCTTGACTGAAGAGGCTCTTTTATAATCAAAAGCGACTACTGTTAGTCTTGTGAGTGAATGATCTTGACTTGAAAGGAGCATCAGGAGCACATGGGAGCTGTCTGCTGCTTTCGGTGAGTGACTAAAGTTGATGGCTGCCTTTTACTGTGTTGAATTTGTCAGTTGGATGAATCATGATGAATAAGGAATAGTAATGTTGACTTTTTGATGAATAGTGAACAATAAAGTTGACTTTTTTCACTATTCATTGCTTGGAGGCATGTGACTGAGGGAATCAATATAGATATATATATCAACAGTTTTTCTCAAAAGACGAGTATTGATTGAAGCTGATAATTATAGCTATATAGAATCCAATGACTGAATTAAGCATATGGGTCATAAGAATCCTGATTAGTTAAACCTTCAGAAGAGTTTGAACTCTCTGAACTGATTTCTGAATCACTATTATCCGAATCTGACTTGGCTTGGGCCATAAGGAGACGAGCCATTTGAAGAAGCTCATTCTTGGATAACTTGGACTTGGATTTTTCTTTTGATTTGGGCTGATCAGTGATGGACTTTGCTGACTTGGACTTAAGCTTTAACTTGGATGACTTGGGCTTGGAAGAACTGGATGTTGGGCTTCCAAGATTGACTGGAGGAAGTTGGCTTCCTTGTGTTAATGGAGCAGCTGGGATCTGCTGAGCTTTAACCACAGCAGGAGTTGGAGCATGTATGTTGATTAGGAATTCAGTTTGAACAATTTTCATGATGCGTGAAATTTTGAAATTATCCCACCATTTAACCATGTGTTGATGGTAAATGACATTATCAGAAATACCATATTGCCATTTGAATATCCAAGGAATTTTGTATTTGGATATAAAAATAAGCAATGGAGGGAATTTCCTTTGCTGAGGAGTGAATGAGAAAACAGTGGAGAAATAATTGACTTGTTCCATAATTACAGATGGGAAAATTTCTGAAATGGCGTCATACTGAGTCCACCATCGCAGAAACCAGGTAAGTAACTCGGATTTGAACTTTTGATCAAATTGAAGAAACCAAGAGTGACTGTTTGACTTATTTTGATACAAGAGGACTTTGAACCAAGCATCAATGTAATCATAGTAACTGTATTGAATTGAATGACCAGGCAAATCTCGCGGTTGGTAAGGAGAACCCCAATCGACTGGAGAAACAAAGTTGTAAATATAGAGTGAATGGTACACAATTTTACTTGTGTAAGTGCGATCATAAATGGGTTTAATCACAATTGGCTGATGGTTGAACGAGATGTCTTTATAGAAAGTAATTGTTTTTTCTGGATGGAGAGGAATAAAATGTCATCCAGGAGGAAAGTAAGATTTAACCAGATCATGAACAATATGACTCTTTGGGTGACTAGGTTCTTTGAAAAAGAAATTAGTAGTGATGGATTTAACATAATCAGATCGGGCTGATTTAATAGGATTAAAAGGGTATGGAGTAACTGCTTGACTAGATAAAGCAAAAGGATCAGCAGCCAAAGCAGATGTATAACTAGGTTTAGGAATGTTACCAAGAATTTGGTAACGGTTAACCAATTCAGTAGGATAGTATTGATGGTATTTGGTGATTAGCTCCAAAGGAGAAGGAACAAAAGGTTGACTAGAAGGCACAAGAGCCTTGCTGGATGGTCTCAAAGGTCTTTGATGAGACATCTGTAAAATAGGTGATTGTAAATCAACATCCACTGAGGATATCTAATTGGTTAGTATGAGAATACAAACAGTTAAGATAATGTGCAAGTTGTTGTCTTTGAGCTTTAATACGATGGTATTGAATGTATTGAGCACGTTTAGTGGGTGAATGGGTTGATTTGAGAAAGGCAAGACGATAAGCAGTATGCTTAATCAGGGATTTGTGGTGTTTAATTTTCTGTTTATGGTATGAAATAGAGGGAATAAGCATTATCCACCCTGTAAAAATTCTCGGGTAAGAAAATCAGGAATAGAATTTTGACAACCAGGAATATATTCAATATCAAAATCAAAAATACTTAATATAAATTGCCAACAGGCAAAAATTTGCTTACTAGCAAGATTTTGAACATCTTTTTCTAAAGCATATTTAGCAGATTTACAATCAACACGAAGTAAAAAATTTTGATTTAAAATATCATCTTGAAATTTACTAATATATAAAACAGTAGATAAAATTTCTTGTTTAATAGTACTATAATTCTTTTGTGCTTTATTTCAGACACCA